AAAATAAAGAAAACAATTGGAAAGACACAATCACATGCAATGGTGAGAAAATAGTACTATTGCCTGATCTTTCCCTGGAAATGTGAAATATCCTTGGTTCAGCTCCACACTGTGTATTTATTAGAAGCCCTTACAGCAAGGGATTTTGTTTCTTGTAGCACCAAATAGACACAGTGGCTAACATATAATTCTGAAAAGACATTGGCATATTTATCACATGTCAAACATTTTCGGAATCTGGACTTTATCCATGTCCCTGGCTTGAAGTGTTCTTCACGAGAGTAAGCTGTAACGTAAGATTGAGTTCTCAGTCTGCTTCTGCCACTGATGTACTATTGACTTTTATACTTGGCTGCTACCTTTTTGTATACTACTTTACAACTTCAAGGTACTTTTATATACAGTGACTCGTTTAATGACTCATTTAATGTAATGGTGTCCCCCAAACCACAGATAATGGTTAGACACATGAACTCTTGTGTAACACTGCATGGGTTCAGATCCCCATTTCATCAGCTAGCTTTGCGACCTGGACAAGTCACATACCCGAGCTTCAGTTTTCTTGTCTATAAAATGAAACCTACTAGAGTTGAAGAGATGCAGTGATATAGTCTATGGAAAGTACCAAGCACAGTAGAACCTAGTAAGAGCTAAGTGTTATGAGTAAATTATTACTTACCTACCTTGCTGGGATCTAACTATGGTGTGTGGATAAACTGAGCAGTATTTTTCAGGGATGCATTTCGAAAAGCAAGCTCACATAAAATATGAGCAGGGGGTCTGTCACGATTTCCACAAGTTAGGGATTTTATTTCTTCTGTCGGCTGTGAAGAGGGAGCTGATGGACAGTAAACTCTAGCTAATCGCCAGAGTTAAGTGTTGAGGAGATCCCCACAGTAAGCCCCAGGAGGGCACTATGTCTGTCCTGTTTGCCATTGTTATTTCTAGAACCTACCAGGGACTCATGTTCTCGGTGTACAATAAATATTTGTTAAATGAATAAATACATGGAAAAGGCTTAGTAGCTATGTGGTTCATCTTTAGCTCAGGTACAGTCTAGGAATCAAATAGGAAAGAAGTGATCTTTTGAAAGCAGAGGATTTAGAGAGGTGTCCCCAATTACTGTGAACTCCTTAGAGAGAAGTTATCAGTAAATATTAAAGGCGATATTAATCATGTGCTTGATGTCATGACTTTTCTTCCTTTTTTAAAAATTGAAACAGAATATTTTATAAAACTCATAAATGGAGTTCTATGTTTTAATCACCCTTGCAAAATCACTCAGGGAGCTTTCATAAAGAACTAGCAAGGCTGAGCTTTCTTCATTGTTAAAAACTCTTAATTCCCAAACACCATCCCTTATCTAAATGGCCTCAAATCCTTGAAGGTTTTCAAGTAATTGATTCCAAATTCATCTATCTGAAAAGAATTTATTTATGAAAAGAATCAATTCTGGTTCTATGAAATTCAGAAATTACAGTGTCAATTACTGTACGCTGGTGAAATTTTTCAGATTATCTGAAGGCAAAATTCATTTGTCTATCCACCTATATCCAATCATTCATTCATTCATTCAACAAATACCAATTGAGCGGCTCTCGTGTTTCCCACACACCGGATGTCAGAGATCTGGCAGGTCCACAAAGCCATCACAGACCTTTTTCTCGTGGAGTTTATGATCCAGAGAGGGTGTGCTGGGTAGGACTGCCCCATGTTTGGGGAGACTGCCTAACGATGGCTTCCCTAAATCTTCAGAGCACTGATTTCTACTTCACAACACTATCGAAAGCTGGTCTTATTAACAGGCTGTCTGTATAATAAACACAAACTAGCTAAAAGAGGAGAAATTCAGGCATTAATCACACATTCACAAATACCTATAGATGTTTAAGATAATGTAGACAAAATATCCCCACGTCTTGGAGTCCTATAGGCACAGCTGAGTAAAATGAACTGAGATCACATCAGTTTGATTTGTCACGGTTGAGAACTGCACTTGTAAATTGATGTAATCCATCTCTAGCCAAGTTCTTCAGAGACAGCTTTGAATTCTTAAAAAGACCCTGACAGCTAGATTTTACATTTAGATTTTAGCATTGTCTTTAAAGATAGTGGTAGTTCACAGAAGGAGAGAATTCCCTATTGATTACATGATTGAGGAAGCACAAAAGTCTGTTACTCTTTCCGAAGTCAATTATAATTTAAGCTCGTTATCTCCCTGCGGATGTTCTATTTCAAATGGCAACAGAATCAAAATGCAAATGCCCCAAATGGAGAGGTTCAGGTATTCTTTTACTAAACTATGCTCATGTACTGGCCTTCAAAAATCACAGCGGCAAAGAGTTTAGCAAAATCTGGCCACCAACCTGGCCAAGGGAAAGAACTCAAATTCACCAGGATCATGGAGGAATAGTCATACCAGATTTCCCCCCTAACTTCGAATATCTCATTTATTTATGATATTCAAGACTGACATTCACGTTAAGAGCAACATGATATGTCCTTAATATGATTTTGGACCCGTCAGTGGCTCTACAGTGGTCATTACTAATAAAGAACATTAGCACAAGTTGTGGGAATTTTTTTTTTCCCTTCCCCTCTGGCTTCAGTGAAACTTAGAGAACCACAAAAGGGCCTCTCTAAGTCTTAGGGACAGAAACTTTGGATTAAAACTTTAGGGGAAGGCTTATATTTCAATAACCAGATTTTACTAAAAAAAACAAAACAAAAACTGGTCATTTGGTCATTTGTATGTAGGACCACTGTGACATGTAATCTGTCTTTAGATGCCTTAGGTGTGATGGATTGCCCCTTCACTTTGACAAAGGACTTGGCATAGATTTATTAGCATTTAACATTATGCAAATGAAGCATAACATACAAAGACATCTAGAAAACACAAGTGTAAGGTATCTGCTCATTTGATAGCTGCTTCCGTAACACCATGACAATATTTATATTGATGTGAAAACATATGATCATTTCATATCAACCATACACTTATGGCTAAATGAAAACACACCTTAAGCTCCAAATTTATACAAGGCATTGAAATGTGTTGAAATGACCATCTTCTCATTATAAAGGTGCAATGAGCACCTTTATGAGAATCTGTGGCATCGCCTGAATAGCTTTAATATTTCTTTGTTAAATGATAACTAAAATATATGTCTTATTAAATTTTTCTTATAAAAATGAGAACTACCCCTTTCAAACTGAGTAATACACGTAGTCTCCATTCACTCCCTTTAGTCATGCTTATCTCTTTTTTAAACCTATTTTACATAACATTCAAGGTCCTCCCCCTTGCCCCCCCCCCCCCCCCCCCCCCCCCCCGTTTTCTCCAGTAAAAAATGATATGTTTTCAGGACGGTTGTTGAAATTGGTGTACCTCCTAGTTTCCTCACTCTTTGTTCTCTGTTGGGTGATGTACTGGCCAAGGGAAAGAACTCAAATTCACCAGGAAGAATAGGCAGAACTTGGTATTGACAATAATACCCCTTGACAGGGCAAAATAAAATGTGCTGGGTAGTTCCGACTGGTTTTATTTTGTTTTCAAGCAATAGCTTTTGAACTGAGCTTCATCACTTTCTAATTTGGGGGACTATCTGAAATGTAAACTTTATTTATGTTGGGGAATCAATTTCTGCATCTGAGAAAAGGGAACATTCAAATATTTGCCTCAGTTTTAATGCTCTATCTAGAATGTTTCAACTGAAACATTTATTCTTTTTTCAGGTACATTTTTGTGCCTAACTTATTTAAGTGCCCAAATGATTATTGCTTCTTATTTATTCCAATGAGTAAAGTCAGACTTATGTGCTTAGATTTATCATAAGTCAAAAGTGATTATCTGTATAGGGGGCTCTTAACAGATCATTTTCCAGCAACTGATACTTTCTGAAAGATGATATCTCCTTGTCTGTTTTCCTATATGAATATGTGTAATGAATTAGGCATCTTTTCTCTCTTGAAGGAACAGCTTCTTTTCATTCACAATATTATATCCTGGTTTACATCTGCCTAATTTTAAAAGGAATGATACTTTTGGTCTTAGATTGCCAAAAATATCCAGTTTATCTTTGGGGAAACTGATCAAAACTTTGTGTGACATATATATTTGTATATATATATATGAACACATATCATAATCGAGCTTTGTGAAGCCCTAAGCTTTAAAATATTACATAAATTTCTGTAATGACGAATCGGTGTAGGTAGAAAGAGTTCAGATTTCTCCAGAGTTTGTCAATCAAAAAATATAAAACTTAACCAAAAGCTAGGTCCTTTGCTAGCGTTCTCTTACCAAATTTGTAACATTTGGTAAGAAAAGACCTCAGTTTGTAGCAAATACACTCTGATAATATATATTTTGTGGAATAAATATACATAATATTCTGTTAGAATTAATAATCATAGATACAAGCAATACTCAAATTAAAAAAAAAAAAATACCCTACTAGAGTTCTCTATCCCTGCCTCTAGCAAACCAAAAGTTGAGTGAAAATTGTCCCACTCCATTAATGCAAAATTAAATTCATGGAAACAGAAAATAAAAAGCCAATTGCTTCTAGAACCTGAACAGAGTATAAATAGCATAACTTGCCTTTTTCAAGAGGGGAATAAAGGTTGAATTTGCAATTAACTGGAATTCTAATTCAGACAATTCAGCAGTATGGATGTGGACGAGGTCAGGGTACCGGGCAATGCGTAGGTTTCTTTTAAGTGGTTAACAACCTTGAACTGATGCAGTTTGAACTATAGCCTAATGAGGGATTTGTTAATCTCTGGAAAAGCTATAGACCAAAGATTCACTTCATCTTGGCCTGGTGATTTATCTGAAAGTCATGGACTTGATTCTTCTTGTACTATTTCAGTCTGCAGACTGGAAAACCTCTCCCTTTACACACTGAGAATTCCCACTGCAGTGAATGGAAGGTCTGTGTGTGTAAAGAGCACGTGAGCAGTGGGATTCAGGCCCAGAGAAAGAAGATGTTGAGTCGCCTTGGTAAAGAATTTATACACCGCGTGTTCACAGCTTCTTGACAGGTATAATTATCAATGTGGTCTTTTCCTTTTACTATGTGCTGGGATTCGGAAGCACGGTTTCGAATTTGTGACTATCAGATCTTTGATCAGGTAGCTTCTCTCTAAGGACCTGAAAGAGGAGGAAAGAGTGAAGGGAAGCCAGTGATTAGTATTCATTTGTCAATGACAATATGCTAAAAATATCAGAAGAGCATGTGCTATGTGAGAACAGCAAGAATTATTTTAGGCCCTATCACTCATGCACAATATTCCACATACGAAAAAAAATCATTTGATGTTTGCAAAGGAAGTAATTATCAAATGGGGATGGAAAAGACACAGTTATTCCCTAAAATGAAATACAGAACACCAGTTGGAAAACATTTCAAATGTAAAACATTTCTTCTTCCCATTTCCAGATGACTCTCTTTTTCTTCATGAAGGCAAAGGATAGTTAACTTTTACAGTGTGATTCTTAGGGTTGGGGTACAGCCGGCAGAACCTCTCTCTGATAGGCAGGAAGCCCCAACTTCCTTGCTCTGAAGCAGATTCTCAGACCCGTTTCTTCTCACACAAGGTCAGCCTGACACCAAGTAGAACGGAGTACGCAGCTGCCCATGTGGTCAGATCCAGGGGATCAGCCTCCGTGAACACTTCCCCCAAGACCTGTCACTCTTGCCCCATCATGGAATCGTTCCTTTCAGAGAGAACAGTGGTTTCCGATCTTTGTTTTTAAAGCTGCAGATATTTTTATGCCCATGAATGCAAAGCATCATATACAAAACAGATTTTTACAAACTGTGGCAGGCCTTGCAATTGGCCTACTTTGCATCAACACCCTCCAGCTGGCATGCCTTCTGCAGATGTGCCTAAAAGCCCCTGGGTGGGGGCTTCAAAGCCATGCACAAGGCCATTGTGCTTCTTCAAGACTCACTTAAGAACCTATTACACGCAAGCACTGCCTGGTACCGACATTTTCCCTCCTACAATGTGACCACTACTCTACTACTATTGAGTGCTCACTAATCACCACATATTGTGTTAAAAGTTCTACATATTTTTTCCTTAATCTCCATAACAGACCATTTCACTGAGTCTTCTATTGAATAACTTCCTATAGGTCCCCGAGTCAGCAAGTGACAGAGATCTAGAGACTGAATTTTTAGTGAATTAATTTATTATATAGTACACGTCCCAGGGGAATGGGCCTCAGTACAACAGGTGAATTTTAGGAACAGTCTTGGATCTTTTCACCTCTCCAGAGGGTGGGGAAGGAGGAGGCCTGAGGGATATGCCAGAAGCTGAGAGATCACCGGGCATCCAAAATGTGGGTCACTGAAACACCCATTGGGAAGGACCATCTGCATCAAATGTTCTCATTATTTCTCTCATTCCCTTGATTTGTAATTCAACAGATCAGTGATTTTTTTTTTTACTTGTTTAAATAAAAGCCTTTTTTTTCCCTATTAGTGTAAATCTTATCGCTCAAATTGCTTTGCTAACTTTTAAATGAGTCATTGTGGTAGGCAGAATAATGGACCCTAAATCTATCTGCACTTTAATCCCTAGAATCTGTGAATATGTTAGATACCACGTTAAAGGGAGATTAAAGTTGTAGATGGAATTAAGGTTGCTAAACACCTGATGTTAAAACAGGGAGATGATCCCGGATTGTCCAGTTGGGACATATGATTGATATCATTAAACGTGGAAGATGAAGAGAGAAGGAGGGGCCAGGGAAGGGGGCTGTGATGAGGAAGCCGAGGTCAGAGCAATGCAGTGTGAGGACTCAGCCACCCTTGCTGGTTTTGAAAATGGAGAAAGGACCACGAGGCAAGGAATGTGGCGAGCCTCTAGAAGCTAGAAAAGGCAGAGAAATGACTTTTCTCCTTGGAGCCTCTTAAAGCCCAGAGAGACTGTACTGGACTTCAGATCTACAGCATAATAGATTTATGTTCTTTTGAACCACCAAATTTGTGGTAATTTTTTTTTTTTTAAGGCAGCAGTAAGACATGGGTACAGCTGAGGTGATGGAGTACTTTGAAGTATGGGGTAAATGATAAGGGGGAGTTGGATAACTCTAACGAGCATGAGAATGAATCCCTGGAAAGCTCATGTGAAGATGTCTGTGAGGAGGGATGGGGGAGGTAAGGGCAGGTGCCATCGAAGAAAGAAGTAGAGTTGTAGCACAGCGGTGTAGAGAAAGGCTTTGAAGCCCGTGTTTCTGGGTTTGAGTCATGGCCCTATTGCTTATGAGCTGTGAACTGTGGCACAGGTTTTAAAAAAAAAATCCCACGTGCCTCAGTTTCTCCCTCTAAAACGAGATTAAAAATAGTACCTACTACCCATAGGATTGTTGTGAAGATTAAGTAATTGAACATAGATGAAGCACTTAGAAGAGGTTTTTGGCATACCCTAATTGCTTAATAAATGTTATCCAGCATTTCAGTGATTATTGCTATTATTCCGGTTTTCTTTTTGATAACTCTGGGTTCCTTGGATTCAATTATCAGAATCATCCTTGGAGGCTGGTTTCCTCCGCTCTGCAGTGGTTCCCTGGATCGGACCCGAAGGACGGCGGCTGTGGCAGTGGTCGTGGGAGGTTAGAACAGTCAGGAGTGGACAAGGGAAGGGAAACGGGGGCCTGACGGTGGGCGAGGCCACCGCTAAACTCCAGCTACTTTGTAAATCTGTGAAGATTCAGCCTGGTTTCAAATGCAGTGAATTCTCCGCCATCAATGCAGCAATAGGAGGTCAGAGAAATTTGACAATCTTTTAGTCTTGACTTCCTCAGAATGTTGACAACTCAGGAAGGATTCTTCTTCCTTCCTCCTTTTATTCTTTGAGAATCTGGGTGAAGTATGGATGTCTATAAAATCATGCTTGAAAAATAAGATGCCTTAACCTGAATAAATGTAGTGCTCTTTGTCAAGAAAGTGGGGATAGCATAAAAATAGCCATATTCCTATTCTCTGTTTAGGTTTCTATAACTCAGTTGTATAGGGATCATCTCTATTACCTTTTAGAAAATGTAATTCCTGATTATCACACATGGAAGTTAGGGGAAAAGACAATTGAGATTTATTTCAGGCGAGTTTGAAATTAAAAGTGGGCATAAGAGATAAATCTCCACACACCAAATTAGCTTCAAATTTCTTCCCCAAAGCAACCATAGTATGAGTTAGGAAGTGTAGCAAATCCCATTTAATCCTTAAAAATTTAATTAATTAAGAGTTGAACAAGAGCTAATGTAGGTCTCTTTGACTGAATTCACCATAAAATCCATGGATGACCTGACTCGGTACGACTTCGCTCGTACTTGGAACGGCCGCTACAGTGTCATCCCAAAAGGCCACGAACGTGTGTGTAGCAAGGGCTGTCTTGGCAGACATAAATATAAATTGCATGTTCATTTAAATAGAACTTTCCTGTACCCTCTACCAGAAAAAAACTGTTTGCAAATGTCTTTTATTAAAGAATGTTAGTCTTTGGCGGTGAGACAATAGGAAATTCTGAAGTGATTTAATGAAGACTGATGGAGCAGAGAAATGCAATGGAGTGCACGGCCCAGCAAATACTGATGGCCAAATTGTATCCTTCCAAAGAGGACTGAATGGGTAGAATAGTGGAAGCTTTTAGTGAGACCTCAGAAGTCTGAATGGCAACATATTTCTTTCAAAACACTTTAGAATAATTTTACTGTGGACCAGTGTGGCAAATCAATTAGGAAAACGGTACAAGTTCGCATTATTGAGGATGGAGGAAGAAAATGAGTTAGTGGAAAGAGTTCCATGTTCTACTAAAGAACCGTGGATTGTTATTAGACCTTTGAAGGGATCCTGACAGTACCAAGGGAGGTAAAGTACCTTTGTATTCAGAATGGATTAGAGAGAAGGATGTGGGCAAAATGACTTGTCCAGATGCATCCTTATCACTCCATCCCAACCCTATCACACCCCAGTCCAACCACCATACCGCTTGCCTGGACTACTCTATAACAGCCTTCTAATTAGTCTCTGCTCTCACTCTTACCTTGCAATAATCTATTTTCCTCAGAACAGCACGAGTGATCTTTTTTAATACATAGATCAGATGTAAGTCCCTTGCTTAAAACCTTTAGTGGCTTCCACTGCAATAAAATCTAACTTCTTTCAGTGATTTAAAAAGCTTTCTGTGACCTGGCCCCCATCTACCTCTCTGTCCGTCCTCATTATTTCCTAACTAACTACCCCAGCTTTCTTTCTATTCCTCAAACATCAAGTGGCTCCTGTCTCTCTTAGAGCTAGGCACTGGCTAGTTCCTCTCCTTCTTATGCTCATTTCTGGCTTCTCCTCACCATTCAACCCCAGCTTACACGTCATCTCCTTTGAGACGTCTCCCCTGATCACCTAATAGAAGGTTGTCAGCTAGCCGGTGTCTATCAGAGCACTCGATTTTAACTCTGTTAAGTACTGGTCCCAGTAGGTTATTTTCATTTACCTGGATATTAACTGTCTCCTCCAACCAAGATGTAAGCACCATGAGCGCAAGGATTTTGCTTTGCTCAGGCTGTTTCTACAGCCCATTGAACAGTGTCAAGCCCATGGCAGTACCAAATAGATCTTTACTGTTGAATAAATGTAGTTTTTAGAGTGAATGGAAGGTGATTTTAAATGAAGTCACCCAACTATGGGATATATACAATAAAAACTCACAAGCTATGAAAGAAAGATAGACAGCTGAATTCTCAGCAGTGTCTGAGGACAAATCCTGGAGTCTTTATACTTCCCCATGTAGCTTCTCCTTTTTGTGTCACAAACCACAGAAAGTCTCATGTCATATCCAGTGTTTCTGGTTGTGCAAATAGTAGTCTGATAAAACCACTATTACCCCTTGTCATTTTCCCAAGAACATCTGAACCTCCCTTGAAAATCCCATTTGCAGACATCATAGTGGAGAGGTGTGTTATGCTATTAACTGTCTCTTCCAAAGGAGAGCAAGGACAATTTATAGAATTCCAGACTATCTGATGTTGGCAGATGAAATGCCTGCAAGAGCAAAAAGGAAAATATATTCTATGTTACTTAAAAGTGTCATTGTGGGAGGGCTCCACAAAGCCATTGCAACTTCGTATCATTCATCTAAAAAATGGGGTTTTAGGGATACTTACCTGGAAGGGTTTTTCTGAGGATAAGGAATAACATGGGAGAAGAGCCTAGCACATGGGAAGCACTTCAAAGATGGGGATTCTTACTCTTCACATTTTTTTCCTGGCTTTTCTTAAAAAAACAAATAGCAAGACCTGACTGAGAATTTTTGTCACAGTGGAATTTAGAAAAAAGGCAAGAGCATCACATTTTCAGTGAGCACCCACAGAGAATTTCAGATCTCTCAGAGCGCATCCACTGGCAGGTCTCCACGTCTTTCTCCATGGAGTAGTTTTTCAGTAATTTGTATCAGTATTCTAAAGGGCTCTTCCCAGGATCAGCACTATAGGGTTGTTTAGTTCCGTACACTGTGCAGCTGGCCAAGAAGGTGAGTGGGGGGGGGGGGGGAGGCGGGCGGCTGGAATCCAGCCCACACTCTTGTCATGGAGCTCTGTGCCCGGGGATCTGGGTTGCACAGAGGCTGCCTTTTCCTAATGTGCCTAAAGGCATTCTATAGTCTGTACCCGGCCCTCCCAAGTACATGATTTTCCAAAATATCTTACATTTGCAGAAAATATGGCTGAATGGCATTATAAAGTAAGCGACTGTCTTGTTTACATTTTTCTGAGGTCATCGGGTTTTTTTATTTGCTTGACTGATTCGGGCGGGGGGACTGTCATAACCTAATGATTGTATTCCAGCTGCCTCAGACACCGTATTAAAAACCGAAACAAACTTGTACGTGTCGGGCCGTCGCTGGTGCGGAAGAAGGCGCTCCTCACCTAGGACATGTGGTTCTGCTGTGTTTGTTGCTGCCGCTGCTGTTGTTGCTGCTGTCGGCGCCGGGCGGTCCGGAGCTTTTCAAAGCGCGCCTCCATTTCTTCCAGGACTTTCGGGGTGTATCGGACCACCAGCTTGACGCTGTCTTTGGCAGCCTTGAGCAGTTCCACAGCTTTCTCATGGTGCTCCCCTTCCACGCTCTGGAAAGACAGTGACAGCTCTTAAACGGGAGAGCTCGCTTGTTCCTCGCCCTGCGGGACCAGTCGGCTGTCATGATCTAGTTAAAATCCCACTTTGACACTGTATGGTGACTGACGTAACGTAATAAAATTAAATTAAATGTAAAAAAATAAAAATAAAGTCCCACTTTGAAATGTCCAGAAGCTACGGCAGATGGGACGCATTGCCATCATCACTATTATTTACTGTGTTGGAGGTTGAAGTGGAGGCAGGTTAGGATGCACTAGGGTACAGAACGGATTGAGTGGGGGTTCAAGTTTAGAGGGTGAGAAGCCATCAAGACCTAAGATATTGCACTAACGTTTAGCGTGGGATTTCTAAATTTCATCTGGAAGAGTAAATGCACTGGTCAAGGAAATTCTGAAAGAATTTTAAAAAAATAGTAAAAAAGGGGAACTTTCCCTATCAGATATTAACATTATTAGGGATCTATCATGATTAAAACAGTGTCTTGTTGTTGTAGTAAGAGAGAGAACACAGAGTCCAGAAGCAGATCCATCGTGTGTAGAACTTTGTTATGTGATAAATGTGGAATTTAGACCAAAGGGGGAGAGGACTGTTAAATAATGATGCGGAAGCAAATAATAATTAAATGATAGAAAATAATGTAGAGCCCAATCTCCTAGTCTATGCTAAATATAACTGATTAAAAATTTAAATGGAAAATTAAAACCATAAAACAACTAAAATGAAGCAGAGCTGAAATGTTCATCTTGCAACGGAGAAAGAATTCTTGAGTAAAAATGCCAATGGAAAAAAAAATCACAAAATCAGATTTATAAATTGTAAGTTTCTATATCTCATATACCACAAAAAGGCCAAATAACAAACAAGAAAAAATTTTCTCAATATATGACAATTCGTTCACATTCTTACCATGAAGAACTCTTGAGTCTATGAAGACCTAAGCAAAATGGGCACATGAACTCCAGATGTCTAAGTTCCCTTGCAATGAAAGAAGTACAGATGAACACAAAATATTTCCTTTATAATTATAATTTAAAAATGGTGAATATGTATTTTTAAAAATATGGTGTATTTCCAAGGATGTAGGGAAATGGGACTGTCATATACTGCTAGTAACTTAACACAAACTGGCACAGTTTTTCCAGAGGGCATTATTGTTATGCATTGAATAAGCCCCTTATAAAGAATAGTTTATTTTCAGAGAAATTTACTAAGGATATAATCATATATACACACATACCTATAAGGTAGGAATGATGAAGCAGAAAGCAAAAAATAAATCGCTTCTTGGCTTTTGAGTTCCAAGTCTTTTAAACAGCATGGTACAGATAATAGTTGGGAAACCATGTTTTTACTACAAGTAAATACAAAGAGGTCTCTTTCCCCAAACCGTCTAAAGATTCTCCAGGTTGGGATTAGTGAGAAGCAAAACAGAAGAAAGCTGTAATCAGACATTACAGGGCCCCAAGAAAAGGAGATAATCTTCCCTGTCAGCGGATCCTCAGGGCAAATGACCTAACTCATATTTTATAGGATCAAAGTACAAAGGTCTTTTTGACTTGCTTCCTGGATGAAGCTCCCAGAAGAAAACATCTGTGTGAGGAGAGAGGCTGAGAGAGTGCCAGAACACCTGAGAGTGGACGGAAGTGGCCAGGAAGGCCACCCCAAATTGGTTGAGATCACATTTTACAACCCAAGCAGAAGGGGGACTAAAAATGGATATTACATTGAGTTACCAAATAAATAAATAAATAAATAAATAAAGTAGGTTGCACTTCAAGCACACTTCAGTTATATCTGGAAACTCGTAATTGCTACATTATACAGATTTGGAGACAAGAAGTTGTGTTCCAATTTTATAACTTGCTTCAGCAAGGTGGATGTGGTCTGAGAAAAAGAAAATGCTTTGAATTTAGCAATGAGGTAGCCATCATGGTGTGTAAGAATGCTATTTCATCACGTGTTGGACTATCCGGCAGATACTAAGGATTTAAGAAACGACCATGATGAGCCCTGGAGGCAATTTACAGAGCCACCCCTTCACCAAGTTTGGGGTAAATGGAAAGCAAGTGGTTATAAATAGCAGCTGGGCAGAGTGAGTTTTTGCCTGTGGCTAAAGCCTAGGAAAATAGGCTTGTTCATTGATCAATTCATTCTCTTAATTATTCATTCAATCGTGGACTTGGTCATTCACTCAACAGATGCTTATTTAGCATTTATTCTATGAATTCTATTCTACCAAGTTCTTTGGAAGAACTTTAAAGGAAAGGGGAAAACTTTGACACCTTGTACAATATCATCCCTGTTTTCAGTGTGCTCAAAATTTCTAATTTGCCTCAAGATGAACTGTTAAGATATGAAAATCTCCTTCAAAAGGAAATCTGGGTGACTTGGTTGTTTATGCCTTTCTCTAATTTCTTTTTTAATATTAAAATTTATGTGTATATATTTCAGTAACACTGGTTCACCCGTTTTCTAGGCCAGATGTTAGTCTCTGAACTCCTTTTTGGCTTTTGTTCTGTTTGCTTTCATTTAATAGGGTTGGAAATTCTAGGCCAGACCTTTAGAGGCCCATTATCTCCGTGTAGGCACTATGTCTGCAGTTTAGAGTTGCCATGGGAGGGTTGTGGTACTAATACATGGGGCCATCAAGCTCTCACCATAGGGACAAAAAGCTGAGAGAAATGTGGCTGGTGTGCCGTATCCAGCCCCACTGAACCATCAAAGTTACCCTCTCCCACCCCAAGCTCTGTTGTCCCCCAGAGTTAGCAATTTATTAAAAAGCAGACTCCATGGTCTTTGAATCTAGAATTTTTGCCCTGATGCTCTTTCTCTGGTTTAGATGATGACTCAGCCTCCTTTGGGCTCACCAGAGTTAACAGGTCTTCTGGTCTGACTCTACCTTTTGCTTTGCTTTCTTCACCAGGGCACAGAACCTTCTGATGGGATCTGGGCAGAGTGTCATACGTCTGCTTCCAAAAAATGCTTTGTTCAAATAATACAAGTTATATAATTGAATAGTATAAGAGAAACTAAGAGGTAACTCAGAGATTCGGGAAATATAAGTATGTTTGTAGAATGCACTATTTCAAACACTCTTTAACTTTATTTTTCAATTGTTTTCAGAAAAATGTTTCAACTCTTGTCTTAATGACTGATCTGGATGGCTTCTTCCACGGGCTTTGCCTACTTTATGAATACTTTTGTGTGCATATGGTTGCCTCTTTAACATATAGTTTATCTTCTGAGTGCTTTTAGTCCCTCAGTTCAACTTTTTGGAAGAATAGTCTGTTTTCTCTACTTCTTTCTTTCTTTCTTTCTTTCTTTAAGGTAAGAATGAAAAAGCAGATCATCTTCCCATGGAGGTCTTATTCCATGCATAAAAAGAAGCCAAACTATCTGCTCAGAGTATACGTGTTGATGTGCAAACACTTGTTAATAGGTATTCCTTGAGCCCTGAAAATGTATCACCTATCCCTACTTTTGGCTTGTTCTACTACTCACTCTTAATGAAAGTATGCCTTATTTCGAGCTAAATATTTAAAACATGTTTTGAAATGTAATAGTTTATTTGTCGACAATTGAACTGTTTCTATCAAAGCTGTACATATAAAAGCTATCCTGATTCAGAAATTGTCCTTTGTGACACCTTGCTCAGTTGGAGCGGTCACTGAAAACCTGCAGCACCAGCTTGTCACTGAGCAGGAAAATGTGGCCTTTCTGTAATTTGGAGAAACCTAGCAAGGCTTCCCATTTTAAAGCAAAATCCCCTCTTGCATTTAAAATTGGAAATTCTATATGATTAGATTTCATTCTCTTGCTTTAAGAATTGTGGTGTACCTACTGCAATTTTAGGAACTCATAAGCAAGGATTCATTTAGTAAAGACATCTGGTGAAAGTTAGGTATTATTAAGAAGGCGAGGGGTGGTAAAGAAGCATGGGGGAATAGTAGGTACCTAGGAAACATTTAGACTAAAGAGGAGTATGGCCCTGAAAGAGAAAAGTCCCTAAAGAGAAATATTATCTACCCCACAGTTATGCATAATACTTTGGCCATGATCAGTCACTGAAATGAAGTAAAAGGCACTAGGAAAAATGGACATTTCTATCCTGAAAATATGTATTTTTCCTGCTAAATCTTTTAAGAATACACATAGAAATCAATATGAGAGAATTTAAATCATTTTTGTTACTTCCAAATGCATAAATACAAGCTAAAAAATAGTAAATTGATATAAAATAATAATCCTGTAATGTTAATATATAAGAGAAGATATTTCATTCAGGAAGCTGGGAAAAAAATAGCTCAGTAAAAACCAGGTGCGTACTGGTTTCATCAGCAATCTCATGCAGTAGTAAGCTCTAGGAAGCTTTAAAGTTAGTTAATTTGATGAAAGTTTAATAAGTCAGTGGCTGGTAAATGAACCAACTTAACAACATGGCTGCCTTCTGATCTTTCAATAGCTTTTCTATTTCCATAGGTTGGGAGATATCAAAATGGTTGCTATTTCATGGTATGCTCCATTTCCTAGTTGATTTAAGAATCCTCTCTAATAAAAGAGAACTTTGGATCACACTGCAGACACTAATTTGGTCATGACTCATGTTTTTTCCCCCACTGCAATAGGGAAACTAGTTGTTAAATTTTGACCCTGGCTAGCCCTCAGATGGAAGAGATGCCCGTCCTGGGAAGGAAGCTTGTTATCTGTGCATAATTAGCTGTCAAACAGTCTATGCCCAGGTCTTCATGCAGGTCTTACTCTGTGAGGATTACTTGAACATAATCTTGACTGAGTTTGCTAATAGAAAAGTTGCTTAAACACTTTTTCAGATAGCCAAGAATTGGCTATACCTCTCAGTTATTCTAGGCATATCTAGAGCCAAGTTTATGCCTGGGCTCCTAACATGACATCAGTCATTCCTTTGGATTAAGGGCCCAATGATGTGACCAGAGAGTAAATTATATTAAGAGCATTGGGTCATAATATCTAG